CTTGCAAGACAGATATGCGATAGAAAGGGGAATCAGAGAGAGAGCAAACAGAGTGAAAGAGGAAAAAAAGAAGAGGAAGTTCACTCATGATACGGATAACCATTGTATGTCAATTGTGAGGAAGCATTTTTTATGAGAATAGCGTGTTGACTAGGCGTTTAATTCCTGAATCATCGAGGAATATGAATTTGCTCAGTACTGACCGGTTCCTGAAGCAGAGTCTGAAAATGGAGCGTTCTATTTTGGCAATAGCAGACTTTCCACGTCTATAGATACTTATAAGCCGTCTAGCCCAGTCATGGGATAAAGTTGACAACCACGTCTGCCTTGGATTTTAGCCTAAAAAATACACGTCGGAGCAGTGCTGATTGACGCGAATTTCACAGTATCGTTGATGTCCTCAAAGTGTCGAATTGAAAAGACCGTGACTACCTCTTCAATATCACTGTGATGTACGAATACGAGGCATAGTAACTGACGAAAGTTGAAGAGCGAACACTGGCTGTAATGGAGTGAATAATGCTTGGAATGTTTCTTTCCATGTCGTATAAACAATCAGACTTTCTGTCAGATGTATGACGTCTTGGCAGGGGAAACCATCATCGATTAGTTGGTTTTTTTTTCATTGCTGCTTCAAAGTTTTCCGGGTATTTCAGGCAGCACGTATTTGCGCCAATAAATATATGGTGAAGAATTGTGGAAAAGATGGTTTTCATATGCGCGTACGAAAACACCCGTACCATGTGGTACGCATCAATAAGATGTTATCGTGTGCCGGTGCGGATCGCTTACAAACTGGAATGCGCGGTGCTTTTGGTAAACCGCAAGGTCTTGTTGCACGAGTGGACATCGGCGATATCCTGATTTCAGTTCGAGTCCGAGAACAGGTTTGTGGTACCACAGTTCAAGTGTTTCAAACCTCAGCCCCCACTTTCATGTGTTTTTGATAAGCAAATTATAGCAACCAGGTTGACCTTGGAAGTGTAAATGGCGAAACCGCGACAGATTACAGCGTGAGGGAAGAAGATAAGAGTGAGATAAGACGTTTCA